TTATAAATTTTCTAGCAGCATATTCTTAAAATTGAAAATCTGAACTGGTTAAATATTACTTAATCTTACTGTGTATTTGTTTCATGTATCATCCTATACGATAACTAGAACTTGATCCAAAGCCCACTATGCTAATGGAAATACTCCCACTAATTTCACTGGGCATTGGATAAGGCCTAGGCTGAAGAAATATGTTGATATTACTATACCAATTTCCTTGAACCAGTTTCAACTGAGATCTTAGCAACGAAGGATTGTAATGCACAAAAAAGTTTTAAGCTGTGGGTCCAATTCTGATACCCTGCTCAGTAACTTCACTGAGATAAATTACAAATATTGGCATATCTTCTAATTTCTCTACTTTGGTATCCTACCATTAAAAGAAAATAATTAGGTGTTATTATGATAATCCATGGAAGGGCAACATATTCGTATTTCAAACACTTTAGTTTCTTACAGTGAAATAAATGTCTCTGAGATGCTAATTGTTTTGTTCAGAAACTACAAGCATTAATAAATGTGTCTGCAAAGAATGTGCTAAAGCGCCAATATTCTATGTTTCCAAAGCCAGTATTTAAGCAAACCTCTACATTTGCATGGCCTAGTTAGCGCTTTGACCCAGTTCAAACTCAGAAGCAGCCAGAATCTTCCTCTATTCCAGAAAAGCAATAGGCTTCTGACTTAATAAGAACTTGAGTATTTCCCCTGACAGAAAGCCGACAACTCATTATTAGGAGCTGTGCCTTCTAACTTCAACCCAATGCCATTTGTATTCTGCATCAGTTATACTTGGTTAGCAAGAATATATGTATATTATCAAACATTATTAACAAAATTTCACCAAGTATAATCATTACTTCAAACTGTCTCTTAATATTTACAGAACAGAAGCAATTTTTTGTAAAAATCAAAGTTTCAAATAGATAATGGTCCAGGGTCTCTACTTTTGTAACTCAGCATAATTGCATTAAAGACAGTGGAACTTCACTGATTTGCATCAACTAAGCATCTGGCACAATATTTAAATACATTAAAATAAATGTGGTTTTTTTCCTTTGGCACTTCTTGTTTTATACATTCCTAGTATGTGTTATTACCAAAGCAAACAAAAAACTGTTCAAAGATGCCAGACTTTTGCAACAGGTAGTCAATATTTTGTGAAACCAGAGTAGATTTACAGTGAGATAACAATAGTAACTAGTGCCTGTAAAACGGAAACCAGTCTACAGAGAAGCTCAATCTAAATCCCAACCAGTATATATTGTGTATGCAATTTATGTGACATTGTCAAACATATGTGCCTGAACCTTGAGAATTTCAAGCAACTACTCTAACTCTAATTGGCATCAATTTAAATTCACAGATATGTGTAACATTTAAAAGAAAGAGCTATTGGCATTAGAGAAAGCAATTTATTTCTACTTAATGAATATGTTTCTATTTTGAAGATCTAAGGGCCTAAATTTGAAATTCAGCTTTAAAGAATATCTCAGAATGAATTTATACTAACCCAAACAATTTCTGGCTACTAGGTATGCAATGAACCTTAGAGTATTTAGAGAAGAAAGGCAAATAATGAACAAAAAGCTTACTTTTAAGTAAATATATATAACTCAGTATTTCAAAATGATACAGTAGAAGAACCATAAAAAAGTTGCTAATTGTGATTTATCCTATTGAAAGGTACCGTAATTTGTATGAGAAAAAGTAATGCCATTATTATCACTTTTTAAACCTATGAATGGTTTCTTGGTGTTGGCAGATGGAAAAAAGTATACAAATATTATAGTGAGTGGTATTCATTGTAACGTTTATTGATTTTGTAATCAGTTAAAATTTTTAAATGGATGAAATACTCTCTTCTCCTCCAGAATGTAGTTACTCTCACAGAATACTAAAACTCTTAAATGCAAATAGATTTCTTTTATAATTTTTTCTACTTGCACTTCTGACTTGTCTTTGTATACATGACTATTGAGTAAATTCATTATTTTTTATATTGTCTTTTAATAAACAGTAAAAAGCAACATACCACATTCATTAATCAAATGGAGAATAACAACATCTATATATAATTAGATGTCCAATTTCTGTTCCCTCATGGGATGGTATATGTTGATCTTTTAACATAAATCTTAAGTTTCATCTGGACATTTAATTCTCACAGATTTGAGTACACTGGCAAATCTGTAGTTTAATAAATCACGTATTTATAAAGAAAAAACAAGAAAGTAACATGAAATTGTCAGTTAATTCTGTTTTTAAACTGGTTTCCCTCCTCCTCCCAAGATAAGCATTTAAAGTGACTAATAAAAATAAACCTTAAGACTTTATAGTTCCATGTACAAACAGCTGAATATATCCTACACAAAATCACATTACTACATTACATTACGGTATTAGACCACTTAAGACTGCTAAATGATTGGATTTCAAACAATGATATTTAAGATGTGAAAATGTCTTTAAAAATATGGGCACATAAATTCAGGGAGAGAACATGCAACATGGTTATATAGCTCCAGTGTGTTCAGAATATGTGAAATATAAGCACTGGGCTCTGTCTTTCAGCACTTTGGACAGCAACTCTTAGAAAACAGCCAGTTTTACAGGAATAGGGCTTTGCATGTAATCATTATTTATCATACATAACAACCATTGCTGACCAGATCACTTTTTGTAGTACGTTCCAAAAATAACAATACTACTGCCATTGTTGTTATTGTTATTGTCTCCACTTTGCCACATAGATTGGTTGGACAAATTCTCAATACGCTAGAATAACACTGGCTGGCAGGTCTGGTGCTTGTAACCCCCAACCCAAGAACTATTAATAATTGGCTCTGTATTTCTTTTTGCACTTTTTCTTGCTGAAAAGGTACAAGTATGCCTAGTTTATATTTTCATTTCAGAAGGCTCTTTAAAGTATTTATTTACATAATCCCATATTAGGAAAAAAGAAATAATATACAGAATTGTATAATTTGAATTCTCTGCAATTTCTCCTTGCTCACTTGACATATATGGTAATACAACTGGTGATGTGTGGTGGTAAAAAAGTCCAGTCAAGTCAGCCTGTGCTTTAAAGCATCATGTTCAGAATGTAAATATTGATCATTTGGCAGCACAAGGCAGGAGAGCAATTTCCAAGTTAAGGAGTTACTGGAATGGCCATGATGCCCTCACATTTTTGGCCCTTAGCAAAATAACTTTTGATTTTTTTTCTTTTGCCTCCAGATCAGTCAATCTCGACCTGAAAGATATTACCACAGTAGCCTAAGTATACAATTGCATGTAGTATGTGATTACATACACACGTCTGGTTAAATGATCCAAGAAATGCAGATCCAAAATTGCTTTGTGAGTTGACTTTATTCCTATAGGAGTTAATCAGAAAAACTCTGCTGACATTCTTTCTTGATACCATCAGGTTTTATTTACACGATGAGATAATGTTATAGGACTTTTTGGGCATATATATAATTATCCTTCCAGGCTATATACATAACCTACATTTATTAGTACTGCTCATATTCAGTACAATGGGATTCTTAAGGCACACGCTGTACTCATCAAAAGGCCCTGGTGATGCTAAAAAGCACTAATGAGTGTGGAATCACAGTCTCTTGCTAAAAATATGATCACCTTTCTGACCAGCTAGGTATGTGCCGCTGATTTAGATTTCTAAAGCAGGATTTGGCTTGGATTTGTGAAGGGACCAATGCAGTTAATAACCGCGAAAAGGTCAAGCAAGCCAATTGAGAGCAGAAGTCTTATAGACGGTTTACTTGTTCAAAAAATATTTCAAAACCAGGCTCTGTATTTTAAAGCGCCAAGTACGGCCCCTTTCCCTGAGCTTTCCCACGTTGGGAGTTGGGCCAACTAGTCCTGTGCAAAGTGGAGAGAAGTCGACAGCTACCGAAGACCAACGTGGGACACTGTTTGCTTATGAGGAAAAATTAATCTGCCTGCGGATCGCTCTGAATGAGCATGGGGAACACACCAAGAATAACGATGAGATTTATTGAAATTCTGTCATCACTACTTCCCTCGTAAAGGTCACTGCAGTGTCTGTTTACAGCCACTCTAGTCCTTGAGCTCTTCCCCACGCCTTAGAGTGTGCAGAGCAGACCTGAGACAGACGCATAAGCACAACACCGCTGGTCACCTGGAACGTCTTCCTTTTGACATAGAGTCACATGGCCACAATCTCTATTCCTACCTTAGGAAATGCCCAGTTCCTGATTGCTCCGGAATCTCAACCTGATTGCGCGTTATTAAAGAGGACAACAAAACTGGAGTCATAATGTCATACCAAAGCACCGAAACGTGCGCTGCAGAGATTCTAAAGCGCTTCCCGGTTTGGGAAGCTCTCAGATCAGAGGACTTGCAAGACAACCAACACGGGTCATAAGTCATCCCTTGAACATTGATGACGACTTATTGAGATTCCACACAACAGGCCAGGACAACCCGCAACTTGTCTTGAAAGTTAAGATAGAGGCACGTCGCATAGACCTCTCGCTTCGCACAGCAATCAGAGTCCCCCCGGGTGCGCACCGAAACCGACACTTTTTGCCACCGAGCGCCTGCACAAACTCCAACCAACCAACTTTTTCCACCTCCGTTCCAGACAGTCAACTATCAGGGACAGCACACCCACACCCCAGTGCCGTATTAGGTCGTGCTCATTGGCATGCAGCCCTTACCCCTGCCTCTCTGACAAGCCGCATCCAAGCAGGCAGCCGACTTAGAACCAATCGCATATTCATGAGTAGGGGGATCCAGCTCTGCACTCCCAGAGGACCAAGGATCACCCTTCTTTCCCTTTCAAGCAGTGCCTAAATTAAGGACCCCTTGTGTCAGTTTCCACTAATAACCAATTCTTCCCTAATAACCAAAGCCACCAGCACCCGAATCCAAAACACCACAACAAAAAGGGAAAGCAAACCAGCCGGCCCAGCAATGAAAGAGAGCACAAATCACAGCAGGGCTCCTACCTTACAATCCTCAGGGCACGATTTCACTGAGTACTCATCCGATTGTAAATATTTCTGGAGCATAACCTCAAACTCTTCGTATTTCTCCTGAGCGTGCTGGTCGTAGCGCTGGTAAGCCTGGACGCACTGGCTGCAGGAGCCTTCCCCCGCCAGCACCACATCCAGACTGCAGTTCAAAGTGTCCGGATTGGACAACCCGGCGAACAACTCCCAAAGGGTGTAGGAATTACAAAAGGAAAGGTAAAAATCCGTCAAGTTCCAGCCCGGAGTCTGAGGATTCCCTGTCGCCGGCTGCTCCCGGCTCCAGCTCCTCCGGCACACAGAGTCCGCATCCTCCACGCTGAAACACTGGCCGGATGCGGAGCTCTGCGGGTAACACGTCTCCAGGCGCCAAAAAGGTTTGGTAGAGTTCCCTAGAAAAATAGCCTTGTTGTTGTTATTGTTGTTGTTATTTTTGCTGCTGCCGCCTCTGCTGCTGCTGCTGCTGGGGGAGGGCAAGGTGGGTAATGAGGAGGAGAGGAGTCTCTGGGCCGCCTGTGCTGCAGGCGAGGGCTCCCCCATGCTAGAGAGTAGCTCCCGCTCCGGATGCTCGGGCTGCTGCTGCTGCTGCTGCTGCTCCTTGTCTCTGGTCCTGGTGAGTTTGGCTTCGGCACAGAACCACAAGTGATCAGAGAGCAGGACTGTGAAAAACAAGAGCGATGCCAGGGACAGTCGCCATTTCTGAGCCCTCTCTGAATCAGTGAAGGGTTTCTCGTTCTCCCGGGGTGCAAACCAGATTTTTAGGCCGTCATCATACTGCCGACTGCACATCCAAGCACCCCTGGTCATATTTTGGGAACGCACAGCCCTGGCCGACTCCACCGTGAGGGCTCCTTTGCCAGTGTCACTACAATATGCATTGACTTAAGAGATTGGGGGGGATTTTCTTGCCTTCCTTCCTCTCTTTCTCTCCCCCTTTTTCTCGTCCACTCTCCCCCTCTCGCTCTCCTTTTCTTCCTCTTCTTTCTTCTTCTTCTTCTTCTTCTTCTTCGTCCTCTCCCTATTGAAATGTTGTTGGGTTTTGCAGGTGGATCCGGCTGGGTCTCACCACACTAGCCAGCCAGATCCATCCAAGCCAGAGTACGGCGGAGCGGATGAGAGGAACAATGCGGAGAGAGGAGAAGGAGGAGGAGGTGGTGATGGTGTTGGTGGTGGTGGTGACAGTGGTGGTGGCGGCTGGTGGTGGGCTTGGCTGGCTGCTTCTTTGCCTCCCCTCCTCTCACCCAGGCATTGTCAGATAGCAGCTCTCCATCGCTCTCCTGAGAAAAGCTGGCTGCCCCCTGCCAGCCGCATGCCGCTTCCCCCCGCTGCCGACGGACGGCTTGAGGAGAGCAGCTCCCCTGCCTGCCTTCCCTCCCCCCTGCCCTGCCTAGTGGCGCTGGGGCTGCTTCTCCTCCCCCCGAGCCCAGCGCCCTGGCGCGGATGCCTGCGCCCGGGTCTCCGTCTTCGCCTTTCCCTCTCCCTCCTGCGCCCTAGGCGGAGAGGCGCTGCTGCAGGGCTCCCGGAGCGCGGCTGAAGAGGAGGAGGAGGAGGAGGCGGCTGCCGCGGCGGCGGCTGGTGACAGGGAGCTGCGGCTGCTGCCGCCGGGCGCGTTCTCCCCCGGCGCGCGGGGCGGGCTTGCCTGGGTTTTGCCTCCCGATGGCCACAGGCATCTTTGGTCCCTGGGCTAAGTTGCCGCCATCTTCGTCCTGGAGAAGCACTTTTTTGGGGGGAGCGCTGTCTTGTGCGTCATCTCCTCCCGCGCCGAGCTCGCTCTAGCCTGGCGCATTGGCAGCCGCGCTTCCTCCTCCTGCCCGAGGAGGTGGGAACAGGCACCCGGGGAGCACATGGCCCCTCCAAAGGGCTTCCGGAGCGCAACTCCTTAGCTCTTGCCCCTCGCGTCCCTTCGCCGCGTCCTGAGCGCCAGCTGCCGGCTCTTGCCTTGGCTCCCCTCAGGGGCTCCTTCTCCCGTCTCCCCGTGACCCCCGAAACACCCCCCTTTTCCCCCGAAGGGATCTGCCTCTGTGCCTGGCCTTTGGGTGAGGTGTCCTTTCCAGTAGCAAATGGCTCGTGACAGGTACAATGTCAAGATCTGAGAGTCGGGTAAGAACTGGATCCTGTCAGGTTTGGGGAAGGGGACGGGTTGGTCCGCAACCCCATACCCCAATATTTCACTGCCCGCATGAAAACTAAGTCTAGCAGCCCGTGGGTCTCTGAACATAACTCCTGAACCACCCCAACGCATCTCCAAACAACAGCCCAGCAACCCCCAGCTAGACCCTCAAATTCCACTGTAGAAATGAACACGTTGAGCCTCATGTATCTTCTCAATCCTCACCCTGATACACCCCAGTGAAAGAATGAACCAAAGATTTAAATCCAGGATCTGGATCCCTGCTCCATTTTCCCCCAAAACGCTGAAATTGTGCATCCAAACAGAACAATTTTTGCTTCTATTAGTTAAAAAAAAACACATCATCTAAAACCAAAAGAAAAATACCCACTGAACTCCAATACATCCCAGTCCAAGAATATTAAAGATCTAATTTGGCACTTACAACTTATTGGATTGGATCTGGTTACTTTTTGGCAGCATACATTTAGATGCACTACATTTATAGCATCTACGAATCTGCTAGAATAATCTGAATCCTAACCTTACTTGGTGCAATAGTTCCACAAAAGTATATGTCTAGCAAAGGTTTTGGCATTGAACAACCAACCCATACAATTGAAGTAGAGTCTTCACTTAGAATAATTCATCTCTGGTGAATAACATGATGTGTTTTGGTCACATGATGCATATATCAGTAATATTATTTGTCTTTTCTCTTATAGTAGGTGCTCTTAAAAATGATTTTCAGTTGTATAGGTAATGCCCCATACTGGTGGTCTTCATATTTGTGAGACTTGTAGTTTCTCTCAATTCAGGACAAACATTTTAAGTGTACCAGTTCTACTTCCTAAATGCAATCTCTCCCCACTGTTTGGACAGTCATTTATTCCATAGCAAATGGAACCTATACTATATTAGGTACTTTATAATATTTTTAATGTACTAGGTATACTTGGTCTTGCCTCAGAGTGGGGGATGAAGAGAAGGGGGCTGGACTTGATGATATTTGAGGGCCCTTTGGAACCTATCTACTATATATTTGAGAGAATTTGTCTGTTTTGTTTGTTCAAGAACTTCTTCTAAATAATAAACGCTAGGACCACCAAATTTGGTATACAGTTTCCTCTTATAATTTAAAGCAAGGTACGGGTTTGGTTGTGTCAGTAAATGGGATGTGCCTGGAATAGGGTTGCTTCTCTAAAAATACCCTGTCTTGATTTAATACATCCAGCGATGAAAAACTAGACAAATGCAGGCTAGAAATAAAGTGCAAATTTCTAAGTGACAGTACATAACCTGGGAGATCTTACATAATGAGTGGGTGGATTTTCCATCACTTGAAGTCTTATGAAGTCACTTGAAGGGTACTGGATATTTTTCTAAAAGCTATTCTATCTGTAGGCCAACCAGAAATTCTGGGTTTGATGGAGGAATTCTTTGGCCTGTTAAGCAAGGAGCCCAAGTGAAATAATCATAATAGCCTCAATGGGCCTTAAAATCTTAGTGATGTTCATGTAAAACTACTGAATATTAATATTAAAGGAAAAACTACACAGCAATCAGTGAGCTCGCATCACACTTTCTAGTCAATCAGACTATATAATGTACTAACCCTTAACATAATTTAGTTTGATACTTTGATTCTAATGATTTGAAAGGTTGGGACAAAAACTTGCATGATCCATCAGGATTCAAATGCCAACTTTGAATTTTTGCAGCACTGATGTATTTGGATATATTGATATACAGATGTTTTGTTTGTTAGTTTTGGTATGATCAGGGGAGACCCATGGCTATAGGCGGACTAGGCCGCTGCCTAGGTCACTGCCACCCGGGGCGCCCAAAGATGATATCATGGGGGCGCCCGGGGCGCCTGCCGATGATGTCAGTCCATTGACGGCCCTGCAAGCGGGGATGCCTATCGCGTGCTCCACCTGGCGCGCCAGCTGCCGCAGCCGGCTCGGCCTGCTCCTGGGTACAATATTAGCTAAGCATTCTCTCTATGGCTATGTCTATACTGCAACACTATTTCAGGGGACCAGAGAATCCTGAAATAGCTATCCCACATCTTTACAGCAAACCTGTTATTTCAAAATATAATGGGCTCACTATTCCGACTTCCCTGTAAATCTCATTCTATGAGGAGGAAGGGATGTTTCGGAATAGCGTATTTTTTTCAAAATTTGGTGCTGTGTAGACAGTGCCAAAGTACAAAATAAGCTATTTTGAAATAAGATCAAAATAAGATATGCATTTTACATAGCTTAAATTACATATCTTATTTCGAGCTATGGTGCAATGTACACTATCTGTACAGATTAGTGTAAAGAACACATGGGATCCAAGAGATTCCAGATATCATGATTTTGTAGTTTTATTCCACATAGATGCATTGGCATTTGGATTTCTATTTTTCCTGTAGCTGGACCAGCCTAACTTATTTAAGTAGTAGAATTCATGGGATGAGTCCAAAAAACTGGCTGCATCTACCAGGATGCATGAGCTGGATCGGGTTTTTATGGTACTGTTGCTTAGGAATATGTCAGGGTCAGTTAGTTCTTTCTGATATTTATTTGTTTTGTTCTTTGCACCCATACAAAAGGAGTGGTTAAATTTGTTAATGTGGAAGGCTGGAGCAAAAACTGGCAGGATCTGGCAGGATCAAGATTTTATCCAGCTAGGGTTGCCAGATACTTTCACAAAAAATACCGAACATGGCGGGGAAAAAATTGGTTGAGCAAAAAAAAAAAAAAAAAAAAAAAAACCCCAAAAAACAAACAAACCAGTGGACCAAAGTTGTTGAGAAAAAAAAACGCACAAAAAGAAGAGTCACGGACCCCCTTTAAGTTCCTACACTCCCTTTGCTCCTCCGCCCCCCACCTGATGCGGCAGGGGAAGAATGTCCGAAGTGGCCTTCCATCCAAGAAAAACAGAAAATACTGAACATTTTACATATCCGGTATTTTCTTCTTTTTTTTTAACGGACAGAAGCTGCAAACACTGGAGTGTCCAGGCCAATACCGGACATCTGGCAACCCTACTCCAGTCCCCCATGAAAATTAAAGTGAGACTGAATTGGTAAGGGTGTGAGGGTATGTCTACACTACAAAGTTAATTCGAACTAACAGACGTTAGTTTGAATTAACTTTGATAGGCGCTACACATACAAACCGCTAGTTTGAACTTAATTCGAACTAGCGGAGCGCTTAATTCGAACTAGGAAAACCTCATTCTACGAGGACTAAGGCCTAGTTCGAATTAATTAGTTTGAATTAAAGGCTGTGTAGCCACTTAATTCGAACTAGTGGGAGGCTAGTCCTTCCCAGCTTGCCCTGGTAGCCACTCTGGGCCAAGCCAGGGAAACTCTTCTGCCCCCCTCCCGGCCCCGG